CCCTCCATTGTAAGGCAAGTGAAAAACATTCATACACACAAAGTAATAGTAATATTTTGAGATTCATTAATTATCATTATCTTTTGTTCTTTGTCGCCATAGTTATTTGGCTAATTACCATCAAACATAGTTGTTGAACCATGAATCAAAAACCTTCAAATTGTTGTTAAAACTTCGAATTTTTGGTAGCAAAATGATCTATGAACATTGGAGAACATTTCTACATAGTTTAATTGAAGTTTAATGGCTTAAAATGAAGTTCTCGAAAAATGGCCTGAGGTTGAAGATGACACTGTTTAAACTCCCGCAGGCACAATATCAAGCTACTGCCCAAACTGTACCATTGTACCGCATGGACGGCAGGCCTTACTGTTAGGACGGTAAACAGATACCGCCACAAGGTAAACCAACACATGCAGTACCTATCATGAGATGGTACTGATGTACTGTGCACCCATACCATGGTACCGTAACAGGTACCGTCTAATCTGGGAATGTTTCCACAAACCTGTATTTGTATCAAAATGCATTTTGAGACTTTATGTGTTGCATGACAGCACGCTAGGGTGTTAACTGTTAGACAAAGTGTGCAACTTAAGAGGGGGGGTGTGAATAAAGCTGTTGAGAACTTATACCGATTTTTGCAGGATTATAAAATAAATGAAAGTGCAGTGGAAATAAAAGAAAGAAGACAAAGAACACACCGATGTAAATTGGTTCACCACCTCGTGACTAGTTCAGTTCCCCGAGAGACTCTCTAAGCTAACACTGTAACACCCTAATCCGTCCAGGTCTGCAGCCCCTTTTGGACTAAAGTATTAACTTGGTAAGTAAAAATTTCAAACATTTTAAAACTTTATTTCAACAATTGTACTAAATATTTCATAATAACATTGGAGTAAAATTATTTAAAATAATGCAGAAGCGATTTGCAAACTACAACAGTATGGTCAACCATGTGATAAAATCATTTACTTAAATAGTAGATTTATGCACGTCCACGCTTCACCTCCATCCCAGTAATCTCCAGAATAGGCTCCACATTTATTCTCTCTCATACCTACGTGTAGAAAGATGAAAAAGCCTACACGCTCAGCAATGAAGTTGAGTGGTACCATGGCACAACAAAAGAATTCAAAGAATAATTTTCTTAAACAATACCAATCATATATGTTCAAACATTTCTTTTTCATATTTAAATTCGTCTTTGTTATTTTAACAAGGATAATGAACATAGTCGATTCTTAAATATCATCATTCAAACTTATGTAATAATCACTCCATAATTCACAATAATCACATGTCACTTTTGTTATCACAATATTCATCATTTGTTACACATAATTTCATATCAATTTTCATCACATTTTGCTCCTAACTTATTCTAAGATAAGGCTAAATCATATCAATGCTCTTAAACTATTTTTAGTCTAAGTCAAATTAATATTGATAACATGGCTCTTAAACTTTAACTAGTCTAAGACAATATTTCTAACCGGACTCTTAAACTATAAATAGTCTAAGGCAGAACACAAGAATCGATAATTCACCCTACGAGTCATGTGGATTACGTACCAACCGAACAGTGAACTGTCGGACAGGTAATATTCGGTCTGGATCCCGTACGTACGTTTTAACCCCGAATTATGAATTGGTCAAGGAGGTATATCTTAGAGTTCTTCTAGATATCCTTAATAATCATCATCAATTTACAAGTGGGTATATCTTAGAGTTTTTCTAGATATCTTTAACAATACACATCATTTTCATAATTATCAATATATTCATTTTTAATCATGATTCAATCATTCATAATTATTATTTTAATAAGAATATTCATCAAAGTGTAATCATAAACAACATCAATAATAATCATCATAATATCCAATAACAAATAGCGGCCTAGCATCGAGTGTTAACACCCTAGCTTATCGTCATACATCATATAAGGTTCTTTAGTTGTCCAAACATCATTTTTTTACTCTAAAAAATTGTCTTTTTGTTGATGTATCAAAAATAGGATTTTATATCTTCAAAAATAGCATTTTTAGACTCAAATTGTTTGCAACACTCGAGCGTTGGATCCGCACGGTCGTTCGTACCGTTCTGGATAAAACGCAGGAAAAACGGAGTTACTATTCATCATCTTCAACCTTCGATCCAATTTTTCAAAACACCATAAAAGCTTCTAAACTTTAAAGTAATTTCATAAAAATGTTTTCTAACATCCATAGATCATTCACAAATGATTTATTTGAAGCTTTATCAACAAAACAAATTTGGTGATTGTGAATATCAAAATATTTATATTTCCAAATATATATGAATCAATGAGTTCAAGGATGATTCCAATGCCTTCTAAAGTTGTTTAAAATCATGGTACAGACATGGAAATCAACAAGATGAAGCTCAACAAATGAACGGGAGCGAAAACAATGTGGAAACTTCAAAACTCGTCACTTCCCGTCACAACTGTACCAGCCCTGGTTTTTGGGCCATATCTCCTTTGTTACTCAACGAAATTGCAAACCGTTTGAAGCTACGGATTCGTAAGACATAAGGCTACAACTTTTGTTTAGAAACCAGATTAAAATAACGACTTTTAGGGCCTGTTCTTTAGAACTTGAACTCTTAACTTCCAGTTCCTTCCAGTTTCTTTCAGTTTTTTCCAGTTTCTTCCAGTTCTTCCAGTTTCTTCCCGTTCCTTACAGTTCCTTCCAGTTTCTTCCAACTTTTCTCATTTTCTTCAAATTCTTTCTACTCCTCAACCAATTACTCTAAAAATGATATAATCCAATGTGATTATTATTATTATTATTATCATTATTATTATTATTATTATTATTATTATTATTATTATTATTATTATTATTATTATTATTATTATTATTATTATTACAACTGTTATATACTGTTATATTCATAACTATAGTTTATAAATTATTTTTTTCATCTCACTATTTTTACGATTCACACTTATTATTATTTTTTTCTTCAACTTTTTAATATGAATAAGACACTTTTTTGTATATTAGTCTACATGATAAAACAGGAAAACATCAATATGTTAAATTATACTAAAAAATTATGGATAAGATAGTTACATTGAATGTTTTATTAATATAACTTTTTATAAGACATCTCAGTTTTTCCTTTATTACTTAAAAATTGCTCATTTTTCTAATTTTTATAAAAAAAAATTGTAAGTCAAAAGAGCTTGGAGAAAAAGACTACAATATGAGTAAAACATAAAAAATGTAAACAAAAAAGTTTATGTCTTTAATTCAAAAATAGGAATTCAATGAAAATAAAATGTCAATCATGAAAGAAACGTGATGATGATGATGATGATGATTATGATGATGATGATTGTGATTATGATGATGATGATGATGATGATGATGATGATAATAATAATAATTTATAACAACAAGAATTTAAAATAAATATTTTTAATTTTTTTTTAGGTTTTCCAGTTTCTTCTAGTTTTTTCCAGTTTTTCCAGTCCCTTCCAGTTTTTTCCAGTTCCTTCCAGTTTCTACCAGTTTTTTCCAGTTTTTTCCAGTTTCTTCCAGTTTTTTCCAGTTTCTTCCAACATCCAGCTCTTTTTTTCCAGTCCTAAAGAACAGGCCCTTAGAGGGTGTAAAAATGCTCACAAGTGTCTGATTTGCACAGGGAATGTTTTCTTCATTCAACTTTCCGGGGCAACTTCCGACAAGAACCATGGCTACCTCCGACAACTTTGTTGGTGACGATCACTTGCGGTCTATTATATTTACTCTAATGAAACTATAGGAAGAAGAATGAAGAATTTTGGTGGAGAATTGAAGGAGAAATGATGCTCCATTTATAGGTGAAGAAGAAGGGTTTTGATGACTTCATGTGGTGATCCTCTTTGATCATCCGTTGGGCGTAGTGGGGGTGGCGGCTGATTTTTTGGAAATTTCACACGTTTGTCCCTGATTGGGACTAAAATGGTCCCAATCGGGGCATACTTTTTGATCCAACTTTCTCCAAATTTAAATCTGATTATACCGTTGTGATCAGACAGTCAAGCTCTACGTGACAATATAGTTTTCACATTTTTTAAATACTTTTTCTGACACCATATTCTAGGGTGTTGACTTTGACAAGTCAAAATTGAATTAATTGACATATAATTAAAAGTACTCTCATATTTAATCAATATTATTCAATTTGAATAATTTATTTCAATAAATCATTTTACAAAAGTTCACATCTTTGACTACTTCTCATTTTATGCAAATTACATATTTAAAATGTCATAACTAAAAATCTGTATCAAATTTATTCATAAAATTTACTCTCGAGACCTATCCACAAATGTTCACATCTTTGACTCTTCGAGACCTATCCATAAAAGTCAATCTTAACAAAAAATCATTGACTCCAAAATTCCTTCGTTTTTGGTCAAACATAGAAATAATGTTTTGTTGGGTCAAAATATTGTTTCTAAACTACTTTTATTATAGAATAACTTTTAGACAATGTTTTGGGGCGATACATTTCTTCCCCCTTAAAGGAATTTCGTCCTCGAAATTCATCTAAGGCTCAACAAACTATATCTTGTTGTATTCTCATTTAATCATGACTTTGCAATGTTCATTCATTATGATTACGTCGTTATCCTACGGATACATATTCTCAAACCGTTAATGTCATCATACTCGTTCTATCTTCGAGAGATTAACAAAGGTATTCATCAATCCTTTTACAGATTCCCGTTTGAAGTCGATGTCAATAAGTAAGTTCCTTTGCATCATTTTTTTTGAGTATACTTGACATATTTGCACATAACTTTGTTTATTCAAAGATCTCGTTTGTACGTCTTTTGTACGGTACAACCAGCGGAAATTAGATCGGAAAACAAAGAGAGTACAAAGCAATTCCTGTAGAGAGCAGCCGACGTGGATCGTGGAAGAAGAAGATGATGATGATGATTGGGGAGTAGAGATCCAAGCCGAATTGGGTTGCCCTACCCTTTTTGATCTGGCAAAATCGAGGAAGTATCATGTCCATGTAGATGATGAAGGCGACTGCACGAAACTTGAAGATGCAAAGTTGGTTTGCCCAGATGCTATGCAGGTGATGATGGTAAGCTTAAGAATGAGCACTACGTTATTTGAGAATGAGCATCACCTTATTTAAGAATAAACACTATGTTATTTGTAAATAAATATTATAATTATATTGAACATGATGAGAAATAATATGTGGCTCGGTCCACATTTCCCAATTATTTACGAAAAATAATCAAACCGGACCTGCTTAGTAAAATGAAGGAATAAGCGAATATTCCTTCGAAGATGCTCCCCCTCCCTCCTATAAAAGGAGAGGTATTCCACCAAGAAGAGGAGGCCAATTCATTCCGTCTCCCTGCCATTTACTCTTTCTCTCTCTAGATTGTACAGTGTACAATCTAAATTATGTACTGTGTACAACCCCCGATATCAATAAAAATCCCTGTTGGTAAGTTACCGCCAAAAAAGGGGCCGTAGTTTTGTCCCGATTTGGGTTTCCACGTCAAAATTCATGTGTTTATATTTTGGTGTATTTTTCAGACTCGTTTATCGTTTTTGCCTAGCTAAAATCGATATACCGGTCGATAATTTACACCATCATTTTGGCGCCGACCATCGGACCTAAACAAAATGCTTCATTTTTGTTCGGCCATCTGATAGAGCCTAAAGGGTGAGAAAGTAAAAAAAGGGGGAGGAGAGTTTGGGCTTTGGAGTATCAAAGAGAGAAATTAAGGAATTAGAAATTGGGCCACATAGAGCAAGCTATTCTTGAATTTTACAAAAAAAGAGAGAAAGATCCGAAGAGGCGCCGCCGCTGATTGTCTAGCGTGGTTGCAGTCCTCCATCTCTTGAAGCCACCTTCGTCGCAATGACGGGACCCATCGCCGCTGCAATCCACTCCCACAACAAGAAGATGAGAATATCTAATTTGAGGGAATTTCCAAATTCCAATCTCAAGAAAGGCAAGAATGGGCACGTCCTGTTCCTGTGCAGCTACCCGGCAATTCAAAGGCTGTAGAACACCTGGCCGCACGGCGGCGGCAGGGTAGTAACCACCAATGACTCGCAGCGGAACTCGTTCAGGCAGATACTGTAGGGCTCCTCCACTCCGGCAAATGGCCCTCTTTTTAGGGAAGATATTTCACACTCGGACATCCCTCCTCCTCCTCCCGCTCTTGCAGTCGGGAAAAGGGTGGCGGCGTTGAGAATCAGGCCATCGTGGATAAACACGGCCTCTTGCTACGAGGGCGGCGGCTGGCTTCGTGCCGTCACCTCTCCTCCTCCTGCGGCCGGGATAGCTTCTCAACCAAGATCACGGCAGATGAAGCTTCTTGAAAATCAAGCTAGAGTTTTGTCTGTGCGGCCAGAGAGGAAGTACCTGCTCCACACAACAAGAACCCCATTGTTTTTGGGACTTGAATCGGATTACTTATTGCCCGGATTAGCCGCCTATGAGAGTGGTATTGTCATCGGAGTAATCGACACCAGCGTCTGACCCAAGAGCAAGAGCTTCAAAGATGATGGGCCTTGCTCGATTCCAGGTTCGTGGAAAGGCGTGTGCAATCCCAGCAAAGGCGAAGACAAGCAAAAAAAGAAGAGAAAGTTACGGAGTAAGAGCCAAGGAGGATGAACAATGACCTTGGTCCAATAAAAAAGCTAGGGTTGTGCAGAAAGTAACCCCTCACTTATTTCTCCATGGGGCCCAGCAATTTCAATTGAGTTTAGAATGGACATATTTTGTTTCTTCCATGCGGAATTATACAAATGAAAAGGATGAGAAAGATAAGATGGTCCACCACATTCAGCATGGAGAAGAGAGGGCCCATCTCTTTGATTTAATAATATACTCCGTACAAAAGAGTTTGATTTTAATGGGAGTATATGGTGGTAAGCTGACAAGGAGATGACCACGCATAAAATTCCAAATTAGAGCATGGGATTACTAGCTAAAAAAATGACTGACACTACATGAGCCCATTGCAAGGTGTACATTGAAGGAAGACATTCTTATTCACGAGTGATTGATGATATTCATCAAGTACATCAATGTCGCATGCATTTATGTGAATTTTGGAAAGGAAGACTGAGACACACGCTCGGACATGACACGATGGTTGCTACACCGGTCTTGCTCAGAGTATAAAATAAAAAAACCTCGAAGAGGGGCCCTAGATAAGGGGTATGCCTGGAAGAGGGTTCGAACCGTTGTTTTTGAAAACCGGACCGGACCGGTTGGTTCGAACCGGGAACCGGTGAACCGTGCATCAAACTAGTCTGGTCCGGTGAAAACCAGAGAAAACCGGCCGGTTTCACCACCAAAATCGGTTTTATAAATTTTTTTATAAACTCTTTTAAAAAGCACATGCCTGAGGTTCGAACCCAAGACCACATCATAGAAAGGGCCATGCTTCTAACCATCTCTGCTACAATGCTTGGTGTTAATTGGTTGCTATTTGTCTTTAATATTCTTTAACTACAAAATTCTTTATCAAATACTTTTAAAAAATATAGAGTTTTTTTAACTTAAATTCAAAACCCATTGATATAATTGAGATGAAGTGCATATAACACAAATATTTTATTTATACATACATACATACATACATATACATACATACATACATACATACATATATATATATATATATATATATATATATATTAAATACTAGGTAACATGTTATTAAAAATCAAATCACTTTTTATTTATAAGTTTTTTTAAATATGTGATTTTTTATGTGATGACACGACTCAAGTAAATTAAGTTAATTATAAATTTAGTCAAACATCAATTATTTATTTATAAATAGAGGAAATAGTTTTTTGTTCACTCATATATTAGTTTTTTTAATTCAATGCCACAACGTGTGTGTGTCTATATATATATATATATATATATATATATATATATATATATATATATATATATATATATATATATATATATATATATATATATATATATATATATATATATATATATATATATATATATATATTTAT